AAGCTACCCTTTTCTGACTGAGAACCACTTTGACCGCACCACTGCGAAAAGGTCGTTGTCCTAGCACGGGGCCAAAAGGGCATCCATGGGCGGTGGGCCAATGTGCTTGCTCAGGCAGCACATACAATAAATTGGAAACGATACAGAGAAGATTAGCATGGCCCCTGCGAAAGGATGACACGCACATTCGTGAAGTGTTTCTACATTTTGAATTTTCTTTCTGCAACAATCTAGAGTGACGAGTGTGCTGTGACAGAAGCTGAAATTCAAACTTTACCAAGTGATAATTAGGCCCTAATCTGCCTTGAGTGGACATGCTTTTTGGTTTTTGGGATAAAGTATGCCGGCAGGCTTGTAAACGGAAATGGAGTTGCAGCTGCTATACAAGCAAACATATGTAACATCTTTGCCAAGATCAAATATACACAGTTAAATGCGCCAAAGATTGTGAGAGCATTCATATGGAAGCTCAGTATATGAGAGGGGGCCATGCCATTATAAATCTTCAGAGCTCCGCAATAAGCAACACCATGTTCCAGACAAAACCTCTCCTTAACACAAAGGATCTCCAAACGCTGTCATATCACAGAGCTGTTTTTTGGCATTTTTAGTTTTTTCACCCTGTCCTGGTCTTGCTTGTAGGCTCTGAGATTAATGGGAATGGACACATCTTCCAATAGGTTAACTTAAATGTATTAACCAAAGAAAAACTAAATGAATAATGCATAAAGTGTATATATCAGTCATATCAGTACCATCAATGTGGCTGGGTGCAAAAACAGTGTTGAGGTGTTGAAAGGTGCAAACAGAAACAAACAGATAAATAAATTAATAGCAGCCAAGCATAGCAGGCAGAGAAGGGCATCTGGGCCTTTTCGTTATTGTTGAAGAACACTCAAAAGTATCAGTATGGGACCTGCCAGGCCTACCGACCTCAGTCTGTAATACATTGTGCCTGTCAGACTTTAAATAGCCAAAGCGCCGCCCTAATCAAGTACTTATCCTTCAGTCCCTGTCTAGGAACTTACAGCCATCACATTGTCTGCTCCTGTCACCCTTTTCAATCACCAGAAGACTTGAGCACACAGAAACAGAGATGCTTGTGTGTATATTTGTTTAACGTACAGTATACTTCGTGTTTCACTCCAATAAGTGAGCGGTCCTTCACAGATCAACTGATTCCACCAGCAAAGAAACCAAGATGATTGGAGCTGATAGACCTTTGGAAGCCTTCATCTGCTCTACAGCTTCTGAGTTTGAGATAACTTTATCCACCCGGTCTTCCGGTGAAATCATGCAGGTTTGCTCGTTCCTAGTCTGGTCCCTCATCCTTAATCTTGCCACCATAGTTGACCCTGCTAGAAGCTAATGACTTTCAGACTCACAGGAACATGCAAGCCTCTTCACCAGGTAGATAATTCATAGGAGATGGGTACACCATCCATAGTAGAGCAGTCTGTCACAGCTGACATAGGCTTTTTAGTCAACCTGTCTGGGAGGAAACCCACAGAAAGGGTCCAGCTGGCCACCAGGATCACACCAAAACCTTCTTGATGTGAGGTAACAGTGCCTACCACTGCACTGTGCCGCTCTAGTTTATAGCTCATCGTTTTTAGTTCTCCAACAACACAAAAACAGGAGACACTGGGTTTTTATTTATTCATTTATTTAGTTTTACTTTGGTTGTATTTTTCACAGGAGGACTATGTGTGCTCTCTTGCAACAAGAAACAAAAACTTTGAATGTGTGTGTGTGTGTGCAAAATCAGTGAACTCATTTTAAATTTGAAAAAAAGTTGTTTTTTCTGTTAAAAAACAATTAACATTATTGATTTGGTATAGAAGTTTTATAATGGTGGCTTGTGTTAAAAAATTACAAAATGTCTTAATACAGGTATGATGCCATGTCACATCTTTTGAACATTCAAGGTTACAAATTGATCTATACAGACAACTTTTACATGAACATTGCTGTCTTGAGAAAACCTCACAGATACAGTGTTTTGAGGTCATTAGCCAACTAAAGTGTCTTACTGTGTAAAATTCAAAAATAAACGCCAGTGTGAGGACTTACTTTCTCAGATCCTGATAATGATGATAATGATGTGGCATTATTTAACAGCATGTTACACAAAATATTCCATTTCCTGTTGAGAAATACAAATGCTTAAATTCCCAGAGACCCACAAGAGTACAATCGAATGGATGGTCTGTTTCTCAGAGTCTTACAGTAGATTTTTGTGGGTTACTGATGTCATTTATGTAACAACAACTCTGTTACAGAATAATAATGCAAAAATGAGACCATTCATAAAAGACAAGTTGTTGATTACTTTTTCATTTCTGGATAACAAAATGCTGTATATGTTATAGATACTAAGCAGTGAATAGCCTGGAAAGTAGCAAAGTATGTTTCCATTTCTACAGAAGGAATGTTAAAGACTGAAAGAGCAGCTTGTCATAATCTACCTGACTTCACATAGCTTCTTCCCGATTAGGAAATGAGCTGAGCCAGTGTTTACTGATTATCCCCAGTTAAGCCCAGGCTTAAGTGGCATTTCCCTCAAACATGAACTGTACTGACAAAAGAAAGGCGTCCAGGTCTTCTCCTGGACTTTAAGAGCTAAAGGAGACTACCAGTCCCCCCCAGTGATGCAAAGGGCAATGTTGTGAAATTTGTTGCTTTTTTAAACTTGCACACACTTGCAATGCAATGCTACAGAATAGAGAAGGTTTTCAAATTAAAAGACCGTTCATACCAGTACATGATTGTGCAAGTAGTATACCAAACTAGAGTGTTCCATTTCAATACAGTGGCATGTTTTCTAGCACTGGTCACTGAAGGGAACCTTTTTGGTATTAAACAGAAAACTAATCAGTGGTGATGTTTCCAGAGGTTGATGCATTTTACTGACCTTCTTCAGACACTCAAGTTATATGACATCGCAAAACATGTTAACTTAGATAAAAATTTAAATGGCAATGATTTAGGAAGTGGGATGAGGATATGTTTAGCAAAACTCTGTCACAGATCACAAGACAGGTGTAATTTATTAGTAGCAAATATAAACCAAGATATCATTAAAGCATTGTAAGCATGTGGAAAAGTAAACTTTTTATGTACACTTCAGTGCAAAGGACATCTCCTGATAAAGCTCTTGCTGGCAGACACATGCTGCAGCGAAAGGGAACTGGTAGCAACTGGAAATGCGGTCACCAGAAAAATCAGTGTTTATGTGACTAATTTAATTTAATTTAGTTCAGCATAATGGGTTTTACATAATTCTGGAGGCTGAACAGTCATTGTGTTATGGTCTAGTGTTGTAGTTAAGATCAGCTAAACAAAACCAGAGCGTACTGCGACCGAGACAAGACCAAGACCAAGACCAGAACCAGACCAGTGCAGTTAAACTGAATTTGATAATAGTGGTTTGCATTATTGAATTTATTTCCCAATAAAAAGTCCCAAAAATAAAGCAAAAACTGAAAGTTTTAATATAACCAACACGAGGCACCTGATGGCCGGTCTGAATTTAACTGTAGGCCTACTACACTATATAAGAGTTATTTAGGTTATTTCATATTTTTGCAGTAGACTTGAACACTAATATGGTCCCTTTACTTTTACTACTATGGGTTAGTCAGACAGCCATTTTAAAAATCATGACACTGCAAGATGGTTTGGACTGAAGGACAGTTTTTAGCAGCACAGGAAACATATTAAGTGTGTGGCAGTAAATACTGTAGATGAGCTTAATATACTGAAGCAGAATTTAAGTCTGACAGATTGCAAAAGGTTTATACCATTTTAACCGCCGTTTACCATATGGATATATAGAAATCCTTCCACCCCTTATAAATGCAAAGCCAAAGTAGTAATTTTGGCCTGTAGTTATCCATATTGCAGTAAGAGCTGAAGATGTTGATGTGTCAAGTGATTACTGTAACTACTGTACAGCAACAATGGCACTGCCTAATGTTATATTGTTTTTTATGGTCTTGGCTTTTTCCTTTTGATTTTTCTGATAATGTTATAATTATAGGAAGAATAAGGAATAGAACATTTTGTTGTACTTTTTGTTTAGTTTATTTATTTTTTTTTTCACTGCACCGGTGGCACTTCTGCATGTTATATTAACTGTGCAAGTGTACGCTAACAGCTAATTATTGATATGATGTTTCAGGCTACTGTAAGTGATGAGTCCATCAGGTTTGGTTTTAAACTTGGGCCAAGATGCTCTACAACTGACAAATACTAACTACAGACTGAGCCCAGGTCTGTTTTGTTCTCAGCACTGTCCATCAATCAAAGTAATAGATCTGCACAAAGATAGCGCCAATGCCTTTGCGGACTGGACAGAAGTTGTAGATTAGAGCTTGATCTTCCTCCACAGGACTGGGAAAGCTGTGGTGGTTCTTCATGGCTGCAGGACAGAGGGAGAAACAGGGGAGAGAAGAAAAGAGTCGTAGCAGAATGTTGCGGTTAGGCTTCAACAATACAGTACTGAAGTCGCTTCTTTCCATTGTAAGACAAACACATTTCAGGTATAAATGAGCTCTATTTATCTTATACTTGTGAGGACAAGTACTGACAATTTCAAGCATAACTCTTGATGTTTAAAACTTAATCACTGAATAATTTTAAACTTAAATCTGTGCCTGACTCAGTATCATAAGCTGGTGTCTAGGTAGTCTTGCTGATTGGCAAATGATTTTTGGAGAACATATAGAGTAATTATTGCCTGAAAATAATTTTGGTATAGTGCAGGAATGACTAAAATTAACATTTCAAATGAATCAGATTCAAGAGTAGTGCTTGCAAAAAATAGAAATGGACAAATAAATAGTGCTGGAAACAACCTGACCAAGGTAATGACACATTTAGTGGAACCATGTTACCTTCAGTGACAAAGAAGCGAGCAGTGTAGAAGCTGGCTCTTACTGCAGAGGTGGAGTGATTCATACCCGACTTATTGATCCACTCAAAGGGACTTTTCTCTGGATGCCACTGCACCGCATAAAATGGGTAACGGTAGGCTGAGGAAAACCAGAAACGCTGTCAGCAAATTGTCAAACTTAAACACAGAAAAGTTCCTTGTGTACTGAATTTATTTTTAAATTGAACCACAATGATCTTTACCATCATCACTCTGATTCACTAGTTCTAGAATTTAGTTTAATCTGAGTAATGATCATTGTTGCTTTCATCATCTTGAAAATAACAGTAAGGAAAAAACAAAACAATGAGATGAAAGCACAACAAGGAAATGGTGGAAACCAATGTTGTTTAAAATTCTAGAATACTCCAGTTACCTCAAACTGCATCTGATGGTCTGCAATAGTTAAAACCAGTCTCTTGCTTATGGGACTGACTGTCCCATTAGATGATGGTGCCCTCTAGTGGACAGTTCTCTAAATGCTAAACAGTATTGCACAATGTATTTGCCTCTAACAGGAGCTCAAACACTGTGCTCCTGACAGTTGTGTTGTGGACCGTATCAATGAAGCGTTGCTGAAATTCCAGAGTATCCAGTGAGGAACGGTACCTTCCATGGTGGAGATGAATTCTTTCTTTCCATCAGTGTTAGTGGACAGGACCTTGTAAAACTTCTTCAGCTTGGCGTTTCGGCTGTAGTTCTGTTGGTTCAAAGAACATCTGTAAAATGGCCTGTGTGTGCTTTGCCTCTCCTATAGACCAAAGAAAACTAACTCTGAATTTTGTTCAAACTAAATGAATGGTTTGGTCCTAAGAGGTGAGTTAGAAGCTATGTTTAGGAAGAGGTTAGCTCCAAGCATCTGTAATCTCAAGCCACAGATGGAGACCATGCATGGTTTACAAGGTCACTATCACATGACCACATGACCAGCATGCCTGGCTACTGGTTGATGTAGATTAGTCTGCATGCAAAAATATGCTCAAAGAAAAAGAAAAACAAGTTGAAAATTACATGTGTTCATATATGTAGCTGTTACAGCTTGGCATGGTGGTGTTTGTCTTCTAAACTAAAGACCATGGGTTCAAACTCCATCCATGCCTTAGGGGTTTATCTGCTCCCCTGATAAAACCAGTGTCATAAGATAAACCTGAGGGGCTGTCTTTGAATATTTCTGAAACAAGTACTACAAAGTGAGCATAATAGCTTATTCAGCTAATTTTGGGTGCGTCTCAGGTTTTCTGGTACCACATAGCAGGTTCACTTTTAACTGGGCCGCACAGCTAAACTTCTCCAGAGCGGGATCAGATCAAAACCTGTCAGCAGCCCAACCACTGATCAATCAGATCACTGGAAAAACTCAGGGCTCATACCTGCTAGACAAGGACAAAATAGTCTACATTAATGTGATGGTTTAAAGCAGAGTGACCCAAAGCTCCACCTCTTTTAGATGAACATGCTCATAAGCCCATAGGAAAACCCAGACTTAACAGAACCAGTTGATAACCGGGGTCATGGTTCTAGTTATCCAGGGTGCTCAATGTTAGGCTCAGTGAAGCCAGAATCAGTTAAACTCACTTTGTGCTACGAATCTCTGCTTGTTAAAGACAGAGATAAATGAACTGAAGGCACAAGGAAAAGTGATGAGACTAACTGCTATATTTGTGGCATGTTTTCATAAACTGTTCAACATAAACAGTCACTGCATCTTGACATATTTATGTCACAGAGAAGAGAAGACCCTGATCACCAACAAAGCAATGTTCTTAAACAGAGACAGGTTTCTGTCTCTAGCCCTACACAATCAGTAAGACATCAGATCTGAGTGATTTGATACCACAACTTCATGCAACAGAAAGTTTACAAAGTAAGGGTGTTAACATGTAGACAATAAACAAACATTATGTGTAAAGAACGCTGATGACTTAACTTTAAACAATGGGATGGAACAACATGGAACAAGTGGCAAACAAAAAGAAGAGCAGGACATACCTGAGTGGACAGACTCCACATGTGGAAGTTGGAAGTGATGTTTTCATCAGCCAGAGACTGCATCAGATCCTTGGGGAAGCTCTGAAACAAACGGCTGGACTTGGCCGCTACGAGACGGATGCGGGTTTGTGCAGAGGCAGACAAACATGAAGAGCACAGCAGAGAGAAGGGTTTGTTTAATTTTTAGAATAGTCAAGTTAATATTTGTTTTGATATTTAGTATCATTAATGCTGTTGACTGGAATCAGCGCTCAGAGGAGAGGGAACGCCAAGTATGATTTAAAGATTAAGACTTACAGCAAAATGTTGTAAGGTGAACTTAATAAAGTGGCATAATAACAGTCTTAGGATGAAAATTATACCAGCTTTGAGCCTGCCCTGGATGACTTCACAGCAATTTCATGCGGTGTCACTGACAACCAGCTACAGTGATGCCGGACTATCTGCAGTGGAAAACAAACCACCTGGCCCCAAAAGTGAGCAGAGTAGAGCTGAGCCTGTACCAGGTGGTGGAAAAGGGGCTTTTCTTACCAAAGCTGCAGCTAAACAAAAGCTTAGCTGTGCACTGTTCTGTCACATTCGAGTGGGATCTGCCCACAGGTGGATACGCCCTCATCTTACCACACTCTACACAATGAGTGATGTTGCTAAGGCTCAAATACAGATCATGTTTTGGCAAAGCTGCATCCCCACCCCAATACATTTTTGTTGACCACAACTCTTCAGTCTTAAATAGCTAAACAACAGATAATGCTGAGATCATTGTCTCAGTTCAGACAATTAGTGATGGGAACTGAGCTGGAGCTTATGGCTCTGTTCCATTCATTTGTTTTAATGTGTTTGCGATGTAATCTAAGCGCTCAAGTGCTCCGGTTTCAGGTCCGTCTGTTTAGGAGGGTGAGGTTTAGCTACACACATCAGGTGCAGGAGCAAAACCACAGGGCTGTGCCTGTGTTAATTTGCACTTCAGAATAGAATTAAAGTATGTTACACACACGGAACTTGTTTCCGGGACAGAACCGATGGCAGCCATCTGCGGCACCAACTCAACCAATCAGGGAAAGAACACTTTGACACAGGGACTGCCAGCACTGAGATTCGAACCTCCAACCTTGTGGTTGGGAGACAACTGCTCTACCCACGGTACCACAGTAGACGATGCTTACTTTAGAAAGTAAGCACCATGATTTTGAAGTAAATTTCACAGGCAGTGAAATCTGGGCACAAAGATAAAAAGAATGGTTCTCTGCCAGGACTCGGAGCCCGTTGTTCCTATCAATGAGCCGTTGAATAGAATCGGATCATTCGTGAACATAACATTGCTACTACCCTTATTAGTCCACACTGAGCATCAACTGGTGCAAAACAAAAACAGATCTAGAGTAACTGGAATTAAGAGGGCTTTCATCTTAACCATAAAAGAATAAGCGGTTTACAATTATTTGTTGAACATTGCATTGAAACCCTCAGTAATAAAATCAAATGATGAATCGCGATTCAAAGTTTCTTTGTTTTTTTTTTTTTTCATATTTCAAAAATGCGTCAAGGATTTGAGTGTTCAAAGACAGAAAAGTGCAGATGAGGCAAGTGGACAGACGCACAGCAGAGGACCGGGACAGAAAAGAATACCTGGTGTGAATGTGAGAGGCAGAGTCACAGCCTTGGTGTCAGTGAGGGTGAGCAGGTTTTTGTTGGCTGTGATGACAGACAGCTGCTGGAAGCCCTGGCAAGTCCCCCAGAGAGGGAAGTAGTCTCCAGCATCATTGGCCTGAAGGGGATAAGAGTGAGGGAGGAAACGATAACAACTGTTTAACCATAAAATGATGTGATGGCATTATCTACACATAACACTCTTCTTAAGTGCTTCACTGGGATGCATTTGCACACACACAACCTTCACAGCAGTCTGGGTTAGACCAGTCAAGTAGTTATCGTGTCTTTTAGTTTGTACTAAAAAGGGCATGTTTGGAAAAGATCTGTTTATTTGTGTAGTCAGAGTGGATTTGGTTTCCTGTCACAAACGCATTAGGAAGGGACCTCTTGACTGACAGAGGAGGAACAGTTAACGCAACCAAAAACGGTGCTGGTTTGAGATAGAGCTATAAAAAGTGAACCTGTCATTTGGAATATCAAACTAGGCAACCCATTTGACACTAAAAGCAACTAGGCAAACCATTTGACACTAAAAGCGACCCTGTCGTGTCTTTAATTGTGGAGCTTATTTACCTCAGCTTGGCAATCTGTCTTACCTTCAGAGCCAAGCTGTAGAAGATCTTGGCAGCTCGAGTGAACTGTGATGTCTCAATATCTACATCTCCTCCTGGCAGCAACAGCCTGAAGAAAGACCATTTAGGGAAGTATTAGATAATACATCAAAGATCTGCTCCAGGGTGTCCCAAGAGGCAGGCAGAAACTTGTTCTGTCATTAATAGCTGCTGAACTCACCCATTTATTGAGAAGAAGATCTTAGTATATTCTTCTTCTGTGAGATTGATTCTGGTGAACAAAGACATAAAAAATGATGAGGCCCATGAACTACTAACAGAGTCAAATATGTTCCTAAATGAATCTGGATTAAAGCAGCAACAGGTGTAGATACATGGCACTTAAAAAAAACATCATTTTAACTTTGGACACATTTTATTAATATTTTTACGTCTCTGGGTAAATCCAAAATTCCCTTAATTGCATCTTGGTCCTGCCCATGTAAGACGTCAGGAAAATCTGCAAGAATGCCAACGGACCCAGACATGTTTACACAGACAAGGGCTGCAGTGTGTGGTCATTTTTCTCATTTCTGCTTCATGTGATTGTTCCTCAGACATGTGGGTAGAAACCCTCTGTATAAAAAAAGCATTTATCACACAGTTAACATAAAATTCACCAGGGCCCATATTCACAAAGTATCCTAAGCCCAGAGAGTGCATTATCTAGTAAAGATAAAGGGTTTTCACAAGAGCTCCTAATGTGAAACTGGTGTATGGAGGCTTAAGCAGGGAATAAAGTGATGGGTGGTGGTGAGCTCACATCTCCCACCCAACGTAATAACGCCATAACGCTAGAAATGAACGTGGTCACAACATTAACATATTTGACAACTACAGTGCAGCAGCGATGGCATGTTTGTTTCACTCTCCCATCAGCAGAGAGATCACACAAACTATTATGGCCTTTTCACCTCTCACATTCTGATGCACTACATCTCATTTTCACTGTATGTTGGCAGCTTGCAGACTGCCATGGTAAATAAACCTAAGTAGTTAAATATAACTACAATAATCCTGCTGATTCCGGCTCGGCCGGACCTGCTGCCACATAGGATGAGTAGGGCCAAGCTCCGCCTCCAACTCAGAAAGACACATGATTGGCTGAACTGTTGCATTTTCTAATGAGGGTTTAAAATAATTACAATGTAAATAAAAAATAATACCAAGAGCTCCAAGCAACAAGCTAGTAACACCACACCCACAGACTGAGCATTACTAGCTTGTGTCATGGGGCCCTTGGTCCTAGGCATTATTTTAACAGGAAACCAAGTGAGAGACTTCATTTCCAAACCTTGCTGAAGTGAAAATAGAGCTACAAAATGACTGCTACTGAATGTAAGGACGTTCCTTTGGTGCAACATTTCAAACAATCAGGCATTTGGATTAGCCAGCCATGGGCGGAGCCAAGAGGTGGCCAGGAGTCTCACTGGCCACCCAAAAAATCTCACTGGCCAATCCTATGCCACCCCTGCCAGATTGAAAATTTGATGAAACAATGTCAAATTGTTGCCTTAAGGAGAACTAACATTTCTCTGGTGCTTCAGGCGTGCATAAATCCTCATGAGTGCCCTAGAGTGCAGTGTTGGGGCCTAACGTCATCAACTGTTTTGTTTCTCTTCTCTGTGACATAAATATGTCAAGATGCAGTGACTGTTTATGTTGAACAGTTTATGAAAACATGCCACAAATATAGCAGTTAGTCTCATCACTTTTCCTTGTGTCTTCAGTTCATTTATCTGTCTTTAACAAGCCTATTTATACTGCTTATTTTGTTATACTACACAGCCTTATGTTGGTTTACTGTTTTCTTGCCCCTTGCATGGTGATATGTACATGCACATTGAGAGCCGATGTACCAGAGTCAAATTCCTCGTGTGTCTGACACACCTGGCCAGTAAAGCAGATTCTTTTTCTCCTGCAACAGCCAGTAACCTGTTTAGCCAAACTGATAACAGTTTGACACTTCCACAGAGTTTTGTCTATAGATTTTAAAGCTACCCCTCCTTGAACCGCCAGCTTATTGTGGTGGAGGGGTTTGAGTACCCGAGTGATCCTATGAGCTATGTTGTTGGGGGCTATATGTCCCTGGTAGGGTCTCCCAAGGCAAACAGGTCCTGGGTTGACAGGTCAGAATACAGAGCGGTTAAAAAAACCCTTTATGAATAGAATTCAATCAAGGACCGTGACGTCGCCCTGCATGGCGCAGCCGGGGCCCCACTCTGGAGCTAGGCCTGGGGTTGGGGCTCGAATGCAAGTGCCTGGTGGCCTGGCCTTCCCTCACGGGGCCAGGCTGGGCTTAGCCTGAACGAGCAACGTGAGGACGTCCTCCCGTGGGTCCACCACCTGCAGGAGGATCCATAAAGGGTTGGTGCACAGTGGATTGGGCAGCAGTCAAAAGCAGGGGCCCCGACGACCAAATCTCTGGACATGGAGACTAGCCCTGGGGACATGGAACGTCACCTTGCTGGTGAGGAAGGAGCCCGAGCTTGTGCAGGAGGTTGAGAGGTACCAGCTAGATATAGTCGGGCTCACCTCCACACACCACTTGGGCTCTGGAACCTTACTCCTCGAGAGAGGCTCGACTCTCCACTACTTATAAGTCTACACACGGAAACCTGATGGAGGAGCCCCAGAGATAAATCAAGGGATGAGAGTTGTCCT